GCAAACACGTGGCACGAGTCAGGCCGGGTGCGTGTAGGACATTAGTACCGGTTGGTAACACCAACTGGTACTAAATGTTTGGGTGTTCTTTTTTTAATTTTTGCTTTAATTTTGTGTTTTCAATTTTGCTTTATTTTCCATTTAATTCTTTTTTGTTTGCTGGTATTTCATGATACTACAAATTGTACACGTTACATATATATATATATATATATATATATATATATATATATATATAATATCATCGATATCGAATGTCTCACAGCCAACACCATTAACTATTCACACATATACACATTGTTGACACACAAACACGTCACGTGTACCCTCGACGCCGGGGGTGATGCACCGCAGCTCACGTCGAAGGAGGCCTGACCGACAGCGCGATACGCAAGACAGTCAACGGGCGCTTTTGCAGACCCGAAAACCCCACACCGCCGGGAGGGACCCCGTCAAGGAGTGCGGCGGCTATGGGCTACCCTAGGTCGATTCACTCGCCCCTAGAGCCTCGAGATTCGCAGCTCTCAAACACGAAGAACAGCGAAGAACGAGAGAGAAAAACGATGGAGAGATAAAACGTAGACTTAAAAAAGTAGTATATTGATTTGTTCGATTGTGTGTTGTTCAATCGACCATCACCCCCAATATATGTAAAAGGCGGCTGGACTTCCCGTACAAGTAAAGGATTCATCTAGGCTTTCCTTACAAGAAATTACATCAATTCACGTCCTAGAGTCCTAGCTGTATTCCAACTCAGATTCCGTCTGAATCTGGCCCAACTTCTGTCTTCCTTCTTGCGCGGGCCGCCAAGCTTGCATATGATCTCCGATCAAGACGGCCCAAATATCAAACTTGTGCGCCTTGACGATACGAACAACTCTCATGTTGATTACCTTTTCAAATAAGGTCATCTGGAATACTTCTCGAGGTCATCTTTATCTTCCAGTCGGACTCGGTTTTGCAGTAGACTGGATTATCTGAGTCTCGTAGTGAATTTGTAGGCCATATACTATCTCTGATGATGATGATTCCAAAACCAAAGTTTACCATTTTGATGATGCGCATAACTTCTATATTGAACACTTCTTCATCCGAGGTCATCTTGATAAACTTTTGGGCACATGTTCAGTTTCACTCGGATTCGAGCTCATCCATTCGGATATTAGAGACTTTCACTTGGATCGTCCGACTGGACTTTTTCACTCGGAAGACAATCTTTCACTCGAATGACTATACTTCCACTCGGATGACTATATTTCCACTCGGAAAGCAATATCTTACTCGATCGGCAAGTTTTCGTTCCGATTGTAATATTTTCACTCGAATAATTTTCATCTAGAGGACAATTTCACTCGGATGACTATATTTTTATTCGGATAATAATAAGTTCATCCAGTCAGTAAACTTTCACTCGACCGGTAATTTTCACTCGACCGGGAAATTTTCACTCGGATGATAAGCCTTTTCACTCGGATTTCTGACTAAAAACACAGCCTGATCTTGTCTTACCTCCCCAGGTCGCATACTAACTCGGATCGAGACAATTTACATATGAAAATCGATCGGCTTGACGAGACGAAAAACTTTCATGTTGAACACTTTTAGATCTGAGGCCAGACTCAATGGATAATTGCTCAGGCATTGTACCAGACACCCATCAACATGTGTCTGATGTCCAGCGTAATATTTTGATTCCTAGCAGGTCCTCACTATATTGACTGTAACTTTTGCATATGAACTCATATTGAGATGATTTATATATGAAAACCGATCGTTTCGACAATACAAAGACAATTCCTTTAGAGTGCTCCTTCATCTGAGATCATATTGAAGGTGTAATAGGCCGAAAAGCACTCAGAACACTAAATTTTGTCACTCGGAGTACAGTTTCGGCCACTGAGATGAGGTCGAATGGCGATAGCCTAAACATCAAAGTTGTTCCACTCGGCGACGTGAAAATTTCTCATGCTGAAAACCCTTTCACTCTGTATCTTGCCAAAATCAGGTGTCAACACATGCCCCCCTGTTTTTCGGCAAAGCTTGCATGCCGAAAAATAATATGCATGGTGTTCGTTCTAAGGACGATGTCAACACTCCATCAGCCATTTACTTTTGTTAGGGCGATAATTATGTATCGGCCAGGTTTGTGCTAAGGGCGATAATCGTATATCGGCCATTGCCTACTTAGGCTTCTTGCCACACACTCGGGTGGTATTTCTTCAAGTATTTGCCATTGAGAGCTCTAGGTAACACTATCTCTTGTATGGATTCCACCAAATATGAGTTTTCGGGGACTATTCTTGTAATCCTAAAAGGACCTTCCCAACTCGGAGACCACTTCCTGAATTTCCTATCTCTTGAACCAATCGGTAGAATCACTTTCCAGACGAGATCACCAACTTGAAAATTCTTCAATTTGACTTTCTTATTGTAAGCTCTTGCCACCCTCAACTTATCTCTCTCTATGGCCTTTAAAGCAGCAAAACGTTTATCGGCAACCTCATCAATATTGTCCATCATTAAGTTATAAAAGTCTACTACCGATAAATTATTTTGTTTGGCTATTCTCAAAGCATTCAAATTTACCACCACTGGTAAAACAACCTCTTGACCATATACTAGCTCATATGGAGTTACCTTCGTAGCACCATGGCTTGAAATTCTATGTGCCCATAAAGCTTCAGACAACAACTCATGCCATCTCCTCAGATTATCCTCAATCTTCTTCTTGATGTGCTTGATTAAAATTTTATTGCTAGACTCGGCTTGTCCATTAGATTGGGCATAATACGGAGAGGAATTGAGCAACTTTATATTATAAGATTCGGCAAACTCTCTGACTTGGTGTGACATAAAAGATGAACCTTGATCTGTAGTTAACGTTTGAGGAATACCGAATCTATGAATAATGTGTTCGGTTATGAATTGAATTACCTCCGTATGTGTCATCTTCTTGAGAGGTATTGCTTCAGACCATTTAGTGAAATAATCAGTTGCCACCAATACGAACCGATGCCCTTTTGAGGAGGACGGGTGAATTTGTCCAATGAAATCTAAACCCCAACCTCTGAAAGGCCACGATTTGATAATAGGATGTAACATAGCAGCAGGAGCCAATTGAATATCACCAAACTTTTGACAAGCTTCACACCCTTCACTAATCATAGTCGGCCAATAAAACCCAGCACGTCGCA